CAAACTAAGCATGGTTTTACAGGTAGAAGCCACTGCAATTTTTTCCCCTATTCATATTTTCTGACTGTTTTTCACTAGTTTTGCACTTGGCTAGGGTCAGTGTCACTACTGATAGCATGAGGCCATACCTGGACCCTACAGAGGTTGCACAGGTAGTCCAACTCCTCCAGGATGGCACATCAATACGTGCCATTGCCAGAAGGGTTTGTGTGTCTCCCAGCACAGTCTCAAGAGCATGGAGGAGATTCCAGGAGACAGGCAGTCACTCTAGGAGAGCTGGACAGGGCCATAGAAGGTCCTTAACCCATCAGCAGGACTGGCAGCTGCTCCTTGCAAGGTGGAACAGGATGAGCACTGCCAGAGCCCTATAAAATGACCTCCAGCAGGCCACCGGTGTGAATGTCTCTGACCAAACAACCAGAAACAGACTTCATGAGGGTGGCCTGAGGGCCTGACATCCTCTAGTGGTCCCTGTGCTCACTGCCCGGCACCATAAAGCTCGATTGGCATTTGACATTGAACACCAGAATTGGCAGGTCTGCCACTGGCGCCTTGTGCTTTTCACATATGAGCGCAGGTTCATCCTGAGCACGTCACAGACATGAACGGGTCTGGAGAAGCCGTGGAGAACATTATACTGCCTGTAACATCGTTCAGCATGACTGTTTTGGTGGTGAGTCAGCGATAGCCTGAGGAGGCATATCCATGGAGGGAGACACAGACCTCTACAAGCTAGACAATAGCACCCTGACTGCCAATAGGTATCGGGATGAAATCATTGGACCCATTGTCAGACCCTACACTGGTGCAGTGGGTCCTGGGTTCCTCCTGGTTCACAACAATGTTCGGCCTCATGTGGCGAGTGTATGCATGCAGTTCCTGGAGGATGAAGGAATTGACACTAGTGAATGGCCCCCATGCTTGCCTGACCTAAATCCAATAGAACAACTCTGGGATATCATGTTTCGGTTCATCCAACGCCACCAGGTTGCACCTCAGACTGTCCAGAAGCTCAGCAATGCCCTGGTCTAGATCAGGGAGGAAATACCCCAGGACACCATCCATCGTCATCTTGTTGTCAGGCAGGCATACACGTATACACATGAGGACCATACAGACTACAGAGTACCATTTTGAGTTGCTGCAAAATGCAGCAAAATGGACTAGTCTGCTGCATCATTTTCACTTTTATTTTCAGGGCGTCTTTGAATTTAGTCCTCTGTAGGCTGATCATTTTAATTTCTATCAAATGATGGGGCATCCTTACATTCCCAACACATTACCCAGTCCATATCCATATGGATATCCAGCATGATATTTTTCCCCATTGAGATCTGATGTGTTTTCAAAGTGTTGCTTTACTTTTTTTTTCTGAGCAGTGTACATATTTGCAAATGTGTGCAGACAAAACCCTCTGCTTTTAACGTAAACAGAAAGGGCCAATTCGGTTGTTATGTAGGCTGGCAAGTGTGCTGGGAAATCCTTTGCTTGTTTGTGATGTGTATTGCCCTTCCATGTGCATCTTGCTGCAAAGGCCAGTTATAGGTTGGGGTGGTTGCCATGTTTTTGTACATGTTACACATGGGCCTCAACATCTGACAAAAATACAACCATTTATTTTGTCCAGCATGGGAGCCTCTGCAGGCCACTGAGATTCCTAAAGTAACTTAGACTGTATGCCCCTTGAGGGTTAGGGACTGATGTGAATGCACAATATATATGTAAAGCGCTGCGTAAATTGACGGCGCTATAGAAGTACCTGAAATAAATAAAATAAATAAAGCCCTTCACAACCTTTTACTGACCTCAGCTTTTGGGAGAAATCTTAATTTCAAACCGAAAAGGAGGCATTTCTTGGGCTTTCCAATTATGTGATCATGGTGACTGGCTGCCCCAGTGATCATGTTATCAGAAGCCCATCCTATCAGCTCCCAATTGTCATTCTGGGGTTGATTTACTAAAACTGGAAAGTGCAAAACCTGGTGCAGCTCTGCATAGAAACCAATCAGCTTCCAGTTTTTTTTTTTTTGTCAAAGCTTAATTGAACAAGCTGAAGTTAGATGACTGGCTAACCATGCACAGTTGCACCAGATTTTGCACTCTCCAGCAGGGGTGGACTGACAACTCATCGGGCCCCCGGGCAATAGGGGATCATGGGACCCCTGTGTCCTCACCCACACTCAAAAAACCCCACAAAAGCCTATGAAAAGGTACTAGGGGCATCTCGTGGGGCCCCCTAATGACCTTGGGCCCTCGGGCAGTGCCCAAGTACCCTAATGGTCAGTCAGCCCCTGCTCTCCAGATTCAGTAAATCAACCCCTCTGTCACTATAAGCTACCAGTAAGAGCACACTCGTGATATAGCAGGTCCTTCCTATTCCTACTTGGCAGTGGGTGGTCCTTACGCAATAACATATTAATGCCATGTAATGCCGCATTACTGTGAGCCCAAGCTGGTGTGATGATGCACCACAAGGGGGGTGGGGGTTGTGCAGGTGGGTCCTCTAGTCTGCTAAGATGCATTTACAGACTATTCATTTAAATGAGCTTTCTTAATGCATTGTGCATTATTAGACTGAACTGGCCTGCACATTTGCACAGTCAGACAACAGTGAGTGCTGATCCTTTCCTTTACAAATGAGAGTACCACCAAGCAAGCCCTGTGGTTCTAGCACATTGTCCAGAAACTGACAGGTTTTTTTTTTTTTTTTTTTTTTTTTTTTTTTTTTTTTTATAGAGTGAGACAGCCCAGGAAAAAAGTCTCTGCCTGTCCATTTTGGGAAGATCTGTATAGGCACCTTTAGAACATGTTCCCAGCTTTTAAACTTCTGCACAGATGAGTAATCGCCTCTAAAGGGCTACTAGGGATGCCCACCTTCACACAACGATGGAGCAGCAGGATAGGTGCCTATCAATCCTATGGCTTTCCCTGCATTTTTCACAGATGTTTCTATGGAGATGCAGAGCAGAGAGCAAAACTGAGGAAGTTACAGGCATGGTCTGTGTCAGTATAAAGAGAACATAAGGTAAAGATCTTTGAAGGACAACTGTACTTTACCCCAACCATCCCAAACTAAAACTACGCTAATAACTCCCATGAAGAAGTTCCCCTCATGAAGACCCAAGACAACATTTTAAGGCTGCAGAGTTAAGCAAGAAGCCAAGGTGGGATAGAGTATGGGATGTCCGTGTTGGTTAGATCATAACTGTTATGTTTCACATGATTCTCATATGTCTTTAAGTGTTTTGTATTTTTGTCTCTGCTCCTCCCCTTCTTTTGGTTTAGTTCGGGTGTCGGCAACCCGCGGCTCTTTTTCACCTTGGCTGCGGCTCCAGAGCACACTGCCCACCAGGTGACAGGCAATAGGGCAGCAATGGGCAAACTACGGCCCGGCGGACCTTTTAATCCGGCCCGCGGAGCTAGGCTCCTCTCACAGTCCGCCCTGAAGACCGGTGTAGCATGAAAATCTGTCTCCTATGAGGATCTGTCCCCCTCGACGTATCTGCGCATGTGCCGGAGATCGCCGATCAGCTGCTAATGCCTGAAACTGGCACATGCGCAGATACGTCGAGGGGGACAGACCCTCATAGGAGACAGATTTTCATGCTACACCGGAACTGCGTGGGAACACGGCGAGAGGAACGCGCGGAGCAAAGGTAACTGAATTGACACAGGGGGGACTTGGGGACTTAATATGGGGGATGAATTAATATGGGGGGGATGAATTACTATGGGGGATGAATTACTATATGGGGGATGAATTACTATATGGGGGATGAATTACTATGGGGAATGAATTACTATGGGGAATGAATTACTATATGGGGGATGAAATACTATGGGGGATGAATTACTATATGGGGGATGAATTACTAAATGGGGGATGAATTACTAAATGGGGGATGAATTACTAAATGGGGGATGAATTACTATATGGGGGATGTATTTTCAGTTTTAAAAATGTGGCTCTCAAAATAAATTTCAATCGTGGTTTTGGCGAGATTTGGCTCAGTTGAAAAAAAAGGTTGCCCACCACTGCCCTAAGGCTATGATTGTGATTATGACGATACACTGTGGCCCTGATTAACCCTTTGCTTACTGGGCCCTTAAACCCCCTTCATGACCAGAGCGCTTTTTGCAATATATGCAGTGTCGGATTTGTTTTAAATGTTGCAATGGTTTTGCGGCTCCCAGTCTTTTTTTCCCTCTCGGAAACGGGTCCAAGTGGCTCTTTATGTCTTAAAGGTTGCAGACCCCTGGTTTAGTTCATGCTGTATGGATAGCCCCACCCTTTTATTCATTTTCCCAGTGATGCACCGCAGCTTCAAGCCTCATGTCATGAAGCAGATCACATTATGATCTTTTGACCTATCCGATGTCCATTGTTGTAAGATTCTCTCAGTTTATGGAATAAACTTCACAAGATCTACAAGATATCATCTTGATTGAGTCACTGACTGTGTTATTCAACTATTATTATTATACAGTATTTATATAGCGCCAGAAAGGTTTGCTCAGCGCTGTACATTATAGTGGGGGACAGAACATGAGACAATACAGTGACAATACAATACACGAGGGATTCGAGGGCCCTGCTCTTTCGAGCTTACACTAAGATTGGAGTTATTGCTATGTCATCACAACTGTAAGTTACAAAGATCACACTTTCAATGCTTAGATTGGAGAGACAGAACAAGCACAGAATGGGATTTAAAAGGATTGGACTTTAACAAAACAGTTTGTGCACTTTGAGGTGTGTAATTAAAGTGTAAGTCCAGGCACTACCCACATTTGCTCCAAAATCTTCCTTCTGCATAATAATTAAAAATTTTACTTTGTAGCATGAATCAGATTTGATTTCTCCCTGTGACATCACTAGGTTGGTACATTTCTTGCAAAGTTGCTGCTGGGAGATCACTCCCTAACATATAATTGTTTAATCAACAAAAGCGAGTTTCACTTTAACTGTAAATATAAGGTAGGTTTCCGTCTCTACTTACTCTCTCTCCTTCTCTGTGAGCTTATCATTGATATTGTCTTTGATTGCAGACCTTGAGCCCTTGTGTAGGATAGGATACCTCAGGGGTACTTGCAAGAAGAAGGAGATCATGGAAACTAGGTGAGCTGTGTAGCCTAAAGCAACAGCTACGCTGCCATCATCCTTTGCTGCAAGCAAATACACCACACATTACAAACGCTTGATGACAAAAGTGAGATATTTAAATCCAAGAATAAACAGCAGGTTACCAGTTCTTAAAAAAAAAACAATCATTGTTACCACTTCTAAGGATTTTCTCCTGGTGATCCTGGCAAAAAAAAAAAAAAAAACACTTCTTGTCCTACAGTGACAATGTTCACTCACTTTACTGTATCTATGGACAAACAGCACTGCAACCCTAGAACATGAAGTGTTTTAGGACTACAAAGCACCTCCACCTCACCTATCTCCAGAACATAGGTGGAGGTGTCCTGCAGTCCACGGTGATAACTGGGGAAAGTGGCAACTGATCACATTGCAGCACAAGTTATAAGCTCACAAAACTTGCAGGATCAACATGTATTTTTGCTCTTGTCAAACAGATATAGCAAAATGCTTTAAATTGTCCATTTAACAGATAAAGAGATGGCAAATAAAAATAGTTCATTTTTCGGGTTTGGTTTACATAGACAAGCTGCACAGAAGTGATAATTCAGGTTTAGGATTGTCAGATTGTTATACAGTGCTGTGAAAAAGTATTTGTTCCCTTCCCTATTCTTGAAGTTATTTATTTGCAAATTTTTTACACTTAATTCAGATCAAACAAATGACACAAAGATAACCCAAGTAAATACAAAATAAAGTTTTTAAAATGAGGATTTCATTTATTAAGGAAAAAACGCTGTTCAAACCTGCCTGGCCCGATGTTAAAAAAATAATTGCCCCTTAAACCTAATAACTGGCTGTGCCATCCTTTGAAGCAACAAGCACAAGTAAGCGTTTGCGATAACTGGCAGTGAGTCTTTCACATCGCTGTGGGGGAATTTTTGCCCAGTCTTCTTGCAGAATTGTTTTAATTCAGACACAATGGAGTGTTTTCGAGCATGAACGCCCTTGTTTGAAGCCATGCCACTGCATCTCAATCGATTTAAATCCAGACTTTGATTAGGCCGATCCAGAACATTAATTTTGGTTTTTGAGCCACTCAAAGTTGGACTTGCTAGTGTGTTTCGGATCATTCTCCTGCTGCATAACAGAAGTGCACCTGAGGTCACAAGCTGATGGCTGGACATTCACCTTCAGGATTTTCTGGTAGAGCGCAGGATTCATGGTTCCATCAATTATGGCAAGTCATCCAGGTCCTGAAGCTGCAAAGCAGCCCCAGACCATCACACTACCACCACGTTTGACTGTTGGGGTGATGTTCTTTTCATGAAATGCTGTGTTAGTTTTATGCCAGATGTAAGGGGACACAAAGTTAAACCTTTGTCTCATCAGTCCCAGAATATTTGCCCAAAAGTCTTGGGTATAATAAAAAGGTTTTTTGGCAAATGTGAGATAAGCCTTTGTGTTCTTTTTGGTCAGCAGTAGCTTTCACCTTGGAACTCTCCCTCATGGATGTCATTTTTGCCCAGTCTGTTTCTTATTGTTGAACCATGAACACTGACCTTAACCGAGGCAAGTGAGGCTTGACGTATTTAGATGTTGTTCTGACCTCCTGGATGAGTTGTCGATGTGCTCTTGAAGTAAATTTGTTAGCACAGCCACTCCTGGGAAGGTTGTTCACCACTGTTCCAAGCTTTCTCCATTTGTAGATAGTGGCTCTCATTGTAATTCACTGGAGTCCCAAAGCCTTAGAAATGGCTAACCCTTTCTATGTAATTTAATTTCTTTGATGATCTGAATCATTTAAGTGTGACAAATATGCAAAAAAAAAATAAAAAACTCAGGGAAGGGGCAAATACTTTTTCACGGCACTGTGGGTCTAAAGGACTCTTCCAGTCATAGTTCTAGATCTGATCTTACCACACCTGGAATGTGTAGGGTAGTGAACTCACTGAATGTGAGGAAGTACTGCAATTATCATCGACCTTGTTTCATGACTGTGTGTATGCCATCACACTATTGTCCTGTTAGCTGTAGAGAATAAACAGGTGGCATACACACCTAGTGCATTATCCAAGGTTTATTGAAAGGTATGAAAAGTAAAAACATACTCACAGACGAAGCATGTATCTAAAAAGCATTTGCATAATGATGATGGCCACAACGGCAAGCAAGGTGTTCCAACTGTCAATGCGGTCAAATGGCTGACGCGTTTCGGGGACGAATCCCTTTCCTCAGAGCTACTGACCAGCCTATATGAAGGTCAAGCGGTAAATAACCATGGCTAGATGCCTTGGGAGCAGAGGCATCTAGCCATGGTTATTTACCGCTTGACCTTCATATAGGCTGGTCAGTAGCTCTGAGGAAAGGGATTCGTCCCCGAAACGCATTGTGGCCATAGTCATTATGCAAATGCTTTTTAGATACATACTTCGTCTGCGAGTATGTTTTTACTTTTCATACCTTTCAATAAACCTTGGATAATGCACTAGGTGTGTGCGCCACCTGTTTATTCTCTATCTAGTGGCTGATCTCCCCGTCTGAGGAGGGCTGCACCCCTGAAGTATTTCCTTTGGTTGTCGCTGTTCTGGTTCCCTTGGCTTCGCATTTCCTGAGGCACTGGAGAGTACATACGATATCCTGTTAGCTGCAGATATATCAATTATTGTCAGGGATTCCCTTAGACCTGTAAACTTTTTCAACGGTTGCACCATTTTAAAAGTTGTTGAGAAAGGCCACCCTATGGGCTGATAAGAAGTACAGTATCTTTGGTGGTCAGTGGTGCTTGTCATTATAGAAGATTTTCCAACTAATTTTTTTCCATAGGCAATAAGAATTCTGGGATTGCATGGCTTGCTAGAATCTACAAATCTGTATGTAAACTAATATAATAAAAAAATGGAAAAATGTGAAAGTTGCATAAAAATTTACTTACAAGTATTTTCTTTTAACTGTTTAGTGACTAATCTGTAGAAGGCACGGTGCCCTGTGCTGAAAGAATGTTAACCTTTTGTAAGAAAACAAAAATGCACATTTTTTTTTTGCAAGTAAATAAAATGTGCGTTTAATTTTTTTTTATACTGCCACCAGTAAAGCACTGCACCCACAATCGGCAGATTGCAGATACAATGTCAGGATCCTGCAGACTTTGTCAACTATTATTATTATTATTATTATTACTACGAGTTTATATAGCGCCAAAGGGTTTGCTCAGCGCTGTACAATAGGGGGGGACAATACATGGCACAGTACAACAAAGACAGACAGCGTACGAGGGGTAAGAGGGCCCTACTCTTACGAGCTTACAATCTAGGAGGGAGGGGGTAAAGGTACAGTAGGAAGTGGCTGGGGGGGATGAAGTGGTAGGAGGAATGAGGGAGGATGGCCGTTAGGTGAGGGTGGGGTAGCTTCCCTGAAGAGATGGGTTTTGAGGGAGCTGAATGTGAATAGAGAAGGCGACAGTCTGATGGATTGGGGCAGGGCAGTGAGTTCCAGAGGATGGGGGAGGACCTGGAGAAGTCCTGTAGTCGTGCATGGGAGGAGGAGACCAGGGAGCAGGATAGAAGGAGGTCCTGTGAGGAGCGAAGGGTACGGGTAGGGTGGTACCTGGTGATCAGATTGGTGAGGTAGTCAGGGGCAGTGTTGTGAACGGCTTTGTAGGTCAAGGTAAGGAGTTTAAATTTGATGCGTTGGGCAATCGGGAGCCAGTGGAGGGAGAGGTGAGCGGGTGGTAAGGTGGATGAGTCTGGCAGCTGAGTTCAGGATGGTCTGGAGCGGAGAGCCTGCACTTGGGTAGGCCAGTGAGGAGGGAGTTGTTGCAGTAGTCAAGGCGTGAGATGATGAGGGAGTGTACTAGAAGTTTGGTGGTGTCTGGGGTGAGGAAGGAGCGGATCTTGGCAATGTTGCGAAGATGGAGCCTGCATGTGTTTGTGAGTGATTTGACATGCGGTTGGAGGGAGAGGTTCGCGTCAAGAATGACGCCAAGGACTTTGGCTTGCGGGGCGGAAGTGATAGTGGAGTTGTTGGTGATGATGGATAGGATGGGGGGGGGGGGTGGGCAGGGGGAAAGACGAGAAGCTCGGTTTTGGAGAGGTTAATCTTGAGGAAATGTAGCGACATCCAGTCTGAGATGTCATTTAGGAGGTGAGTGATGCGGGCGGAGATAGTGGGGGTGAGGTGAGGGGTGGAGAGGTAGATTTGGGTGTCGTCAGCATAGAGGTGATAGTTGAAGCCGTGAGATTGTATAAGTTTGCCCAGGAGGAGGTGTAATGGAGAAAGTCCAAGGACAGAGCCTTGGGGGACCCCTGAGGGGGAGGTGGCACCATTGTAGGTGACACTGAAGGAGCGTCGGGATAGGTAGGATCAAGAGAGAGCAGCATCTCCGATGCCAAAAGAGGAAGGAGGGGGTGGTCAACTGTGTCGAAGGCCGCAGAGAGGTCCAGGAGAAGGAGGACAGAGTAGTCGCCATTCTTTGGCGTTGAGTAGGTCGTTAGTGATTTTTGAGGAGGGCAGTTTCAGTGGAGTGTAGGGGACGGAAGCCGGACTGTAGGGTCAAGGAGGTTATTGTCAGTAAGGTGGGAGCTTAGGCGATCAAACCAGAGCCTGTGATAGACTAAGCGTTCATGAGCTTGGAGGTGAGTGGCAGCAGGGAGATGGGTCTGAGGTTGTTGGGGTCCGCGGGATCCAGGGAGGGCTTTTTGAGGATGGGGGTGATATGCGCGTGCTTTAAGGGGGAGGGAATACGCCAGTAGAGAGGGAGAGATTGAAGATGTGGGTGAGGGAGCTGATGAGGGAAGAGGGGGGTGACCGGAGGAGTTGAGAGGGGATAGGGTTTGGTAGTGAGGCGGGCTTTTGAGAGGACTTTGGCACTTCCTCAGTAGTGACCAGGGCTGAGGGAGTGTTGCGGGGGGGGGGTTATGGTGGGCGGGGCATTGGGAGAGGAGGGGGGCAGTGCGGTTGTGAGGGCAGAGGAGGGGGGAGATGAAGGGGTGACGGGAGCGAGGAGGCTAGGTGGGGAGGTAGATTGCAAGTTGACGATGTCCTTACGGATAGCGTCAATTGGAAATGGGTGCAATTTTGAGTG